GGCCCCTCGGGTGAAAGCCGCCCTGAAAGCGAGGTGCCGGCAGAGTCCTCACGGCGGCGGCGGGGCTGAACCTGCAGGGCGCGCTGGGGAAACGGGCAGCGCTTTCCCTGGCCGCCTCCACAGCTCGTAACGCACCGACCTTTGCGTGTATCGGTACAGCCGCACGGCGTCACGCCTTCTGGCGCAGGCACAGTTTTACGTGCGTGAAGAGTATGCATAACATCGTCCTGCAAGGAGAGGAATATGTTTTTATCCATAGAAAATGCTCTAGCATTATTGTTTTCCATGCAATGTGTTAGACTTGTGTGAGTTTTGCTTTGAATAATATTAATTTAGGGGCAGAATTAACAGAACTAACAGTCTGACGGCGTTTTTATGTTCTTCGCCATTTAAAGGTGTTTAAATGGTTTGCAGTCAATACCTTAAAGCTGGAAAGAAAGAAGATTCCATAGCAACTTTTTAGCATTATGGGTCTTGCAATTTATGTATGAGTACTTAGGAACACTTAGGTGACAATAAAGGGAAAGAATTCATACCTACATGTGTGTTTCTTGCGTTCTCTAACCTTTCACCCATGCTTGTAGTAAGAGTTAAAAGAAGTTGCTGACATTCTTAATAGAATGTTTACATCCACAGTCTGTCTTTGTCATTCTAGCTAGTAACTTAACTTCTCTTCCTCTTTGGAATGTCCCAGCATCATTGCTGAACGTATATTTCACCTTAAATGTACTTAACTGAAGTGGACTTGTAATTCGTGTATGTATGTCCATAGAACTATGAGATGCTTTTAAAATACTTTTTTAAAAAAAGATTTAACCATCTCCTCCCTTTGATGTTTGAGTAGACGTGGTATTTAGGATCTCTAATTTGTAGTTGCAGGAGGCCTATTTTGAAAATGTTGGTGGAGTTGTACAGCAAGCATGGAACTTAACTGAAGTCCCAGCTTCATCCATTTCATCTGTTGTGGAAAAGGAACAGAACTGTCTGTTCTTGGCTTGTTAGCATATGCTAATGTCTAGCCCTCTGAGGAAAACACTAGGCCAGAAGTTCTCGATCTTTCAAAGTTTTGGTCTATCCAGAAGAGATGTGTGTGCTTTCTCTTCAGTTAGATGTGTTTCACATTGCTTAAGATTATAAAAGCAATTGTAGTAGGTCAGAGGAAAGGCCAGCATCCTGTGTCTGAAAGTCATCAGCTGCAGGATGAACTAAGAATGATTTAATGGGGCAAGCATGTAGTGATACTTTTCTCAGAATGTTTTTAATGATTTTCAGCCCAGGACCTCATTAGCCATGGTTGTTGTCTTTGTGTCTGACAGCCTTTGGTGGATTCCACCCCCTCTCCTTTAATTTGTTCTGTTGTTATTTGGAGTCCACATCAGCTTTTGGTATCTAAAGCATCCTGCAGGGAGCTGTTCCACAGGTTAACCGGGGCTTCCGGGGGTGGGGAGTGAAGGAGGGGAGAGGAGGACTTCCTTTTTTTGTGTTGAACCAGCTGCCTTCCAGTTTCAGCTGATACCTCTTGGTTTCTGTACTTGAACCAGGTAGGAGATTCCTGTTCACCTTTTCCATGCCAGTCATGGATTTTATAGATGATACCTTTCCTGTCGTCTTCTCTTCTTTACCTTTGAAGATTATGGCATAAAATCTCAACATCTTTTGTTCTGTGAGGTGCTAGACCATAGGCAGAATCATAGAATCATTTAGATTGGAAAAGACCTTTAAGATCATCGAGTCCAACCGTTAACCCAGCACTGCCAAGTCCACCACTAAACCATGTCCCTAAGCACCACATCTACACGTCTTCTAAATACCTCCAGGGATGGGGACTCAGCTGCTTCCCTGGGCACCCTGTGCCAGTACCCGACTACCCTTTTGGTGAAGGAGTTTTTCCTAATATCCAACCTAAACCTGCCCTGGTGCAGCTTGAGGCCGTTCCCTCTCATCCTATCCCTTGTTACTTGGGAGAAGAGACTGACCCCCACCTTGTCACAACCTCCTTTCAGGTAGCCTGTGTGCTGCAATTTAAACCATTGGATTAGCCAGTTAATACCAAAAACTGTTCTATTAATGTTTGGGATTTTTACTTAGATTGTTAATTTACTGTATAACTGAGAAAATAACTTTTTTCTTTTTTTTTTCTTCTTAAGAACATGAAAGTGACGATGATTCCTATGAAGTGTTGGATTTAACAGAATATGCACGGCGTCATCACTGGTGGAATCGTGTGTTTGGCCGGAATTCAGGACCAATTGTAGAAAAATACTCTGTAGCTACCCAGATTGTGATGGGCGGCGTGACTGGCTGGTGAGGGAGCATCGCTTTTCATAACTGTGCTAGACCTTTTACTGTTCTTAAAAGATCCCTTTCCAAGGCTATTTGAAGCAGATAAATGTATCCTCTCTAATGGGATTTCCTTTATCATTGATCAACATTATTCATGCGTGAACAATTTCTTAACTCGTTACTCTGACTCACCATTCTAAAGTGTTTTGTAGTATTGGTAAAACACCAGTTAGCGAAGGGAACTCGTCCCAGTTACTCTGAAAAGGATTTGGGGAAATGTCAGAACTCTAAAAATACAAGGAATGAATGGAAAATTCCTGCATATAACTTTTGTTTGTATGGAAAAGCTTATTTCCTTACTAGTATAGATTTATAAACCTAGTTATGATATTATGGCTAAGACATATTTTCTAGGTAAAAGAAATGAAGAAAAAAAAATTGTGGCAGAATATACTTCTTAATTAAGACCCCCATTTTATAGAGACTTTTTTCCCTCTAAATTCAGCTGGAGCCATTTTGAACAAATTAATAGTCTGCTCTCCCATTAACTGAAGAGAGATACCCCAGCATAATTACACTAAAATAATTCATGGTGAAAGCTAGACAGTAAAGATGAGAACTTAAGCTGGAAAATGTGGCCACAGTCTTACCAGCTGCATCAAGGTATTTGTTATTTGTCAAAGGTATTTGTCTATTCCAGTGTTCTAAAATATTAAGTTCAGTGAAAAACAACGTTATGGTAGCACAGTAACTTTTAAAAGAGAATTATGCAAGATTTGGAAGATGAAATAGACTAAAAATGAAGTTGTCATGTCCAGGCTCAGTATGGCTTTGGGGAGTGTAGGCTTAGCTTTCAGTCTAATTTGTTTGCCTCTGTAGCCTTAAAATTATTTTTAAAAGTTAGATGTGTATACATAAACTCTGAAGCTTCTAGGGAATAGTTCATCTGGCATATATAAAAACTGGCTTGTTGAAAGATCTGGGAACTGTATATTTCAGTATCTGTAGATGTATATACCTCTGTGTGTGTATTCATGTATACAAATATGAATTCACTCTTCATATGCGGGCCGGGGGGGAGGGCGGAATTCCCCTATGTGCGTGGGCTGGTGGGGGGCGTGGGTCAGACACCAGCAGAGTGGCCCAGAGAAGTTATGGAACCATCAGCCTTGGACACACTGGCCTGAGTCAGGACCCCGAGCAACCTGACGGAGCTTGGAGGTTGGATCGGATTTTGCAGCTAGCCCCATTTTGGGAAGGTGGCTGCACCAGACAACCTCCAGAGGTCCCTTCCCGCCCAAACTATTCTATGGTATTGATATCTGTGCTGTTCTCTGTTTGATGTGGGAGTGTTTGGAGACTGCGAACAAGATACTAATTTTCTGGTTGCTTTGATCCATTAAAAATAGAGTAAGGCCGTGTCCCAGTAGAGGGGCCCTGCTGATTTTAACTCTTGCGGTAGGGAGTTTTTACTGGAGATATTTAAGTTACGGGTTTTGTAGTTAATATAAATGATGGTATAATATGTTTGCCTTCCATTTGGGAACAGTTAATAAAGCACAATGTAATAATATAAGAGTGCCATTATAATGTGCTACATTTAATAGCAGTATACAGACAGCCATGAACTAGCAACCATTACTCATGTTGTCTTGTGTTAGATATTATTAATTAAATATCGTTTGTATTAAATATTCTGATTTTAAAATTTAAAAATGTGAAATGATACATTTGCTTTTTTAAATGAAAAACTAGTAATAGTTGTAGTCAGAAATTTTGAAGTGTGGTATCGTTCAGCAGACAACTTCATTGGACTGGGTTTTTTTGTTTTGTTCTCCTAAGGTGTGCGGGATTTTTGTTCCAGAAAGTCGGAAAGCTTGCAGCAACTGCAGTAGGTGGTGGTTTTCTTCTGCTTCAAGTACGTAGCATTTCATGCTTTATAAGCTGGCAAATGTTATTTACTAAACAATAGGAAAAACACAGCTGTTGGGTAAAATTTAATTAGGAAGGCTTCTTATCTACTTCCTCTTTTTAGTCTTATCAATCAAAAACTTACATTTCAGCTGGAATACTGTGTACAAAAGAGACATTTCTAAAAATCAGTGGTAAATCAGAATCTACTCTATCCTGTAAAATAGTTTGTAGTAAGCCAAAAGAAACTTCTCTGCAGAAACTGAGATGCTGCATGTGTTTCAGTATTGTCAGATTAGAGGAACTACCTGTAAACCTGTGGTTGGGGAAATCAAGGAATTTAAGCTGTATTTATTTTAAATAGGTTTCAGAATTTTATCAGTGCTTTAGAAGAAGTAGGCTGCTTTGGCAGTTCCTTGGAGGGCGGGTTCTGGTCCCATTATGAAGCCATGTTTTTCTCTTTTCTCCCCATGTTGTATTTGCTAGTTGTATCTGTTGAACCTCTGAAGCTTTGCTGACTTCTGATAGCTTCATTGCATTCCTCCGTTCAATTGGATTTCAAGTCCAAAATTTTTTAATTATGTTATCTGGCATGACCATTTGCATTTTTCATCAGATACTATGGTTAGGGGAGGGCATATTTCCAAAATGCCTTTAAATTAAATGAAGAAATTTTAAGTGAAGGAGAATTTCACATATCCTTCTGTAAGAGGCTAAGTAATTCTTAATTCTTTTACTGGCATTTTTCATGTCTTACTACCTGTAAGCTTTTCATTTTTCCTCAAATCAGTCTAGAGGAAATAGACTGGTGCCTACTTAGATTCATACAAATAATATACCATTTTTTTGAGGCAGGATGTTAAAGATATTTTTTTATTATTATTCTTCTTTCCAACATCACCCTGGAGGGTTTCTGAAAAGAATATCCCACTTTCAGTTATTTCTTTGATTGTAATGGCTGTTGCAGTCAACCATTGATCAGGAAGGCTTGGGTAGTACCTCTGATTGCTGCTGTGTAAGGCATGAAAATGTCACCGTTGTGTGAAGTACTCTTACTTCCTTGGTGATCATGTTCTCTACTGTTTTGGGGTTTGGTTTTGTTGTTTTGTTGTGTTTTTTTTTTTAACCCCTTGTTGAACATACAACTGAACTGCAGCACTTACATGAGAATGTATGCTCTTGGAACTATTTGGTGGAAGTTATTTTCAACAAATATAAAGTGTATTTTATTTTGAATTACTCAAAAGCAAGCATCGACAACAATATAAAAAGTCAAAGAGAAATAGTTTTGATATGAAGCTTTATAGTATTAGCATTCATTCCACTTCACCATTGTGATGACCTTTTTAAATGTCCTGGAAATCACTGGTTATTGGGCTTGTACCTAAACATAGGGATGAATTTTACAAGGGTGTTGAATCTGAAATGGTTTAGAAACATCCAGATGTAAATTTGTGGCAAAATGTGCTATGCCAGCAAATGCATCAATTTCATGGAGTACTCTGGACTTCTTTAGCCCATAATGTATATTTCTGGATCATGAAGGAAGAATTAAATCTTTTTTTATACTTATATATATATGCGCACAGTGGATCTTGAAGTACTCATCATGCTTTTCATCTAGTTGACTTAAAGATCAGAATCTTTCTTCCCATATTGTATGCCATTGGTCTTAATTCTTCTAATGACAATTCTTATGTAAATATGACTGAAGAGCCTACAGAACAGAGGCCTGGCATCCAGGGGCAGCAGGCAGAATGTTGCCTGCGAGTGCCTTCATTAGTACTTCTGACTACCGGAAGCTGAAAAGTTGAAACTAAGACCTATAGTCAAAGGAAAACAGAAATTGCTTAAAACACATTACTTGTGCAGTATTCTTGCTTGTTGAGCTGTGAAGTTTGGGGAGCTTTCCTGTACATAAAATAGATGCCATGTGTTTTAGTGTCTGATTTCTTAGCTGATCTCATTTACAGTGTATCTGAAAAGGAATGTTATCCAAGAGGAAAAATGAGTTGCATATTTTGATTGAGTTGTCTGTATCTTTAATTAAGTAAGATCAGATTCTCTTGGAAAGGAATGAAGTAAATGCCTTGGTCTTTCATTTTAATTCAAAACGTTTTCCATTTTAAAGCTGAGTCATAAATTCTATAGTGTAATTACATTTCAGTAGCCTTTAATTTTTTCATTTAAAGATCACACGTCGTGATTTTAATTTCCCTATGAATACATGTTCAGCGCTTCCCCTGAGTGGGCAGAGGAGCGTTTCAGCACATGACTAGAAACTTCCTTTTTATCTGTAAGTTTCTCTGAAGTTGCAGATTTCATTGCAACTCCTGATTGCAATATTGACATCGTAATTACCTGCTAAAACAAGAAGGACTACAGAAGGCAAGATTCTTGGTTAAAGCCCATTCAGTGAAACATTTAAATCCTGAAACTAAAAAAATGCATTTTTTTCTTCAGCATGTGATGACTTCATCTCAAGAAATCGAATAGGAAACCGAAAGCAATACATTTTTGGAGTGTCAGTTTGTACAAGAAACAAAAAAGATTTTTCAGATTTTTGTAATCGGTCTAGAAATTTTTCAGTCTTAATATGGATTAAATGAAAAGTAGTCTGAGGAACAGAATAAAAATTACATTAAGGAATTTGCATAGTTTTTCAGAATTAAGATCTGTTATCACATCTTTGTGCTGGATATGCCAACACCTTAATTTGATCAATTAACTATCCTTTTTATTGAAATAGATGTAACTCTTCAAATATGCTGGTATAAGACCAATACCCATGCACTATATTAAGGAAAATATAATTAATTTCTCACAGCAAGCAAGGGATTTTCCTTGTATAACTTTTAGTTTATACAGCACAGAGTTTTGTGAAATTCTGCAGGGTAGGGAAGTATGAACTCATGTGGTTCTGCTATAATGAATTAGTTAAAAACAATTGTTCTTAATGAGCGCCTGTTCTCTCTGTGTTTTTAAACTCCTGTATCTTTAATAATGGTTTCGCTGCTTTTTGCTCTGCAGTCAACATACAAATTGTAGGTTTTTCCATTGTGTGTTGACTATTATTTAATCATAAAATTGTGTTTTTTGTTCGGTTATTTTTGCTTTCACTAATATATTTTGCCTCATTCCATTAGCATGCCGTTGAGTTCAATTCAGTTCTTCATTAAATTATTTTCTAACTTAAGAGAAGTAAATCTTTGAAAACAACACAAGAAGCAAAATAAACTCGTTAAGATATCCTTGGCTATATATTGTGCGGGGTTTGTTGACACCGTGCCATGATGATGCTGTGGCATCTCAGTGAAGTGGGGAGAGAACAACATGGCTCTGGGGGTGGGGACTTAGTAAGAAAGAGTTGTATTCAGTTTTGCCTTGAATATCCCACTTCGCAGTTGATGTCTGCAGACTCTGAGGGAACGTTCAGTGGAACAGCCAAAGCAAATGGTAGTTGCAAGTTAGCCCTTTAAAGAAATACCGTATTTCTGGCAGATCTTGATGTGAAATGGAGGGGCATCGTTTCTCTGCTTTTGTAAACTGGAGTAGTTTCACTGGTTACAGTGGAGCTGTGCCAGCACATGGTGGCTGAAGATACAGCCTCTGCAGTTTAACTCTTACAAAAAATGTTGTATCATTTCTCAGTCCCTTCTTATTTGTATATTGAAGTTAGAGACTTGTCAGATCTGTTCTGGAAACTGGTGGAGTGTGATAAGGGTTGCTACCTATATAAATACCAGAAAATACGTAGAAGTATACATGGCTTCTGTATGCTGCGCAAGCAGCTGAACACAGGGAGCTCGCCTGTACCTTCCGGGCTTGGTTGGACTTTTTTAGTAAGAGAGATTTTGACTTTGAGGAAATTTTTTGTCCCATCTTGCCATATAAATTTTTTGCTCCTAAGTGGTTTTGGTCGTTACTCTTAATAATGTGTCACAGTAACAAAGTACTTGCATGCCTCTCTAGTCATCACCCCCAAAATGAAGTCTTCCCTTTAGATCTCTGTTTTCTTTGATTAGCGTAGAGAAAGATGCACATATTTTTAGTATTCTTGAATGGATGTATTCTTTTCAATTGCCTTTTTGGAAAAAATCCATTATTTTTTCAACAGTTCTGGGAGGTCTTGAACAAAAATAAATTTTACTAATGTGATATATGAGAGAGAGAGAGAGAGATGTATATAATATATATATTATTCCATTATCATATATACATACATATATTTCTGTATATATAGATATACATACACCCCTATATGGCTCTTTTAAGAATCTATATATAACCATATGTATAGACCTATATGACTCTTTAATATATATAAGTATGGAACTGTTAATGGAATGTTATTATTTTAGTTTCTCTGTTATTGTAGGGGCTGGGTTTAAAAATACTAATGAACTTTAAGAATTTGTGTTTATGTAAATTTACTGCTGTGAGCGAATAGTTTTTTTATGATGTATTAGGATCTCAAAGTGGAAGTCTATCTCACCAACATTTGAGTTCAGTGGGATTATTTCTGCGCTTACATACAAAGTTATGTAATTAGTAGGACTGCAGCCAAAGTAGATGTGACACAGGCTCTGACTATCACTGCAGTGAAGTACAGTTTTGGGCTTTTTTTTCCTTCTCCGTTATAATTTTTATATTCAAAACATTGTCCTCTCTTGCTTATTTCATAGATGTGTAGAAAAACTCAAAAGCAGAACTTAAGATTGCTGCTACTAAGTTCAGGGAGAAAAGTAGTATAATTTTTATTGTGTAAACTGGAGTTTTGATACAAATGTAAGTTGTAAATACTGGAGAGCTAAACAGAACTTAATGAAAAACTGCTGCCTTATCCTTGTACTGTATGGATAACTGAGCCAATTAAACTAGTCTTAATGAAATGTTTCTTTTAAAGTCCCATTTGTTTATATTTTTTTTACAACTTTCAAGAAAGCAAATACATTAGTGTTTCTTACATAGTGTTGGACTGGGTGGATCAGTCCATGTTTAGTTTTCAATTTTAGGAGTTAGAAGGCAGCAATTCAACACTTGGGCCTTTTTGAAATTCTTGTGGTAATGTTAAATTTATAATATAAAAATTACCCCCAACGCACAACACTTTTTTTTTTCCCCCCCTGGTATGTTATCCAGTGACTTGTTCATCTTTTCATACTGTATGCACAGTCCCTAATTAACTATCCCTGCCTAACACTAGCGCCAGTGTGGATAAGTGGTTTTCCAATAGACAGGCAAGGTCAATGAATTTGTTATATTCTGAGGTATGAAGTAAAGGGGAGTATAATATTTAATAAGTTCATTTGCATTTGTTCAGTGAATTGTTTTTTTAAATCTTGTTCAAAGATGGAAACTGAAGTTTACTTTCTTACATAGGTGGCCTTTTAGGAGATTCATTTAGGAACTTTAATTTAGACAAAACCTGTTTGACACTTGCTTCATTTTAGTGTTTTTTTATTTCAGGATCATGAAATTCTTATTTGTGGTAAAATATGTTGCTTAATGTGGCTGTTTTGAAACCAGTTAGATGGTCTAATTTTAGTTATTTGTTAGAAAGAACTATGTGAAAAATAAAATTCAGTGCCTGTAAGCAATGTCAAACATTTTGTTTTATGCCATACCAAGTAAGTTCTATATTTAAATACCTGTTTCACAAAACTTCATTTTCTGTGAATTTTGTTTACTAATTGTACCATTTGCATAGAACGCTCTCACATAAGTTATATGAATTTGCCAAACGTGACCCTAAGAAGCATCTGAGAAATATTGTTTTTCATAAACTGTTTTTTGATAAGTCATTTACCTTTAAATTTAGGGGTCTGTATCTATTTGTTTTAGCCATTAAAAAAAAAGTAGTAATCCGTACTTTCGATTTTTTCCTCTTTTTTTCCAATTAATGAGTTGTTTGTTTTAACTGTTCTCTACAGGATGCAGTAATCGCCCAATCTTTTTTTTAAGCTATGATCTTAAAAACATTTAAATGTGTATTTCTTTTGTGAATTGTCTCTGGTCAAGTAACAGAACATTTTTTTCTAGGGTAAAATCTTAGTAAGAGAAATAAGGCAAAGGGTTGGGATGACGGTTAAATGTGCTAAAAATGTCATGGATGTTGTTTAAGTATTTTGGGAGTCTGAGTGTAAATTGGTGTGAACAATCCCCCATTATCCATTTTGCTGATGTTGCACAACTTGTGCTGTACACAGGCCGTGTTATTTTTCTACTTACTGGTTTTGTAAAAAGTATGAGAATTCTCTTGTATTAAATACTTTTTTCTTGGACAGTTCAAATGATGTAGGATAAAATAATACTTTTCAATATTTCTAGGGATGTTTCTGATTAGTCCCAAATATCCTGTCACAAATCAGAATTCCACAATTCTGAAAGAAGCTGAAATGAAACAGTTTTTTTTCACTGTTGTCCCATGAATGTGCTTTTCTCTTTCCTTTTCCTACAAGTAAAGTTACAGTAAATGCTGAAGGAAAAATATTGTTATTTGAAGCTTTTTTAACTAAACAATAGAGAAGTGGTAAAATTAACAGTAGTCTACTGAACTTTGTCATTGCTTGTTCTAATTTGAATTGTTATTGTGGAAAATACTAGTGTTTGAAGCCAAGTACCTTCTGTATTTGGCACAATGTCTTTTCCTATATCTGTAATTAAAAAAGAAAAAATTAATAAATGTGTAGGCACTAAGATACTGTATTTTGACTCATAAAATGCTAACTACAACTGTACTAAATATCCTTTATTTTCCCAGATTGCTAGTCATAGTGGATATGTACAAGTTGACTGGAAGAGAGTTGAAAAAGATGTAAACAAAGCAAAAAAACAGTTAAAGAAGCGTGCAAATAAGGCAGCACCTGAAATCAATACTCTAATTGAAGAGGTAAGCCTAAGGTGATAAACTGTTTTCTACCAGCTAGTTTTTCTTACCTTCCACACTGCAGGTGATGATTAGTTGAAAATGCAGGTGCAAAACTGGAAGGCATCAGAAATGGACTGGCTGTATATTTTATTAAAAGTTATCAGATTGTCCTCTCTTTCATTTATTCAGCTTTCTGTTTTGTTCACTCTCAAAGATGACACACAAACTTCAAAGTTAATGTGTTTCTACAGCTGATACAGCTTAGGGACTGCCATTGGCTGTGCCATTTAGTCTGCGCAGATTCTTGGCTTGTGAGAAAGCAGTAAGGTCATGACACGGTGAAAAGTCGAGGGTGTTGTGGTTAAAACATGGTAGCTACAAAGACAAAGCCCAAATCTTCTTTGTCTGCTGATAACAAAATTACTTGGTTGGGAAAGACCTTTATTTCTGGAGAAAAGCTATAACCACTTCGTAACTAGAGTTGTAGTTTTTGTCTCATTTTTATAAAGTCTGAAGAATATCTGTCTTCAGGATCTGTCAGTTACATACTGTGTTGAAAAGAGGTAGCCTATGATACTGATCCGTGTCACTGAGGCTATTTCTTTCTGTCATTTGAAGTCTCTTATTTAATTGTTTTATCTTTCTTAAAAAAAAAAAAGGTATGTTTATCCTATTTTTGCATATTTTCAAATTCCATACAGACAATCCAAGTTTCTTTCTCTGTAACTGTGAATCTTGACTTGGAATATGTTGCAGACAATGTAACAGCAGCCACACTAGCGCTCTGTAATTAAGAGACGCCTCAGATTTAACCTGTATGGAGTTGCATGTAGGTTGATAAAAATTACCTTAAATTTTAATGTGAATGTGAAGTGGAAGTTCGAGAGATGGTTTTCTAGCTGCTTCTATACTCCAAATAACTTAACCTGTCCTTTTCCATCACCCTGCAGAAATGGGTGGGACAGGATGGGGGTTTTGGTTGTTTCCTTTTTTTTTCCTTTTCCTTTTTCTCC